TCTCTGTGTAATATAACTGAACTCCTTTGTTCCCAAAAGCCATCAAGCTGTACAACTCCTCACTTGGGGGAAGGAGGAGGTGACGGGAAGAGGGACAAGGTTCAGCACTCCCCCTCCTTGGACATCTTGTGCAAAACATTACCTATTGTCACTCATGTGCAATATTCTACTCTCTCACTGTACATCAACACATGACAACTACTGTGTAGTCTGTGTAGTTCTTTCCTTATTTATAAGGTCAGTATATCTCTGCAGTGCAAGTGCAATAATCCAGGTGAACTACTGTGTACCTTAGGTCTCTACTGTGCAGATATTATTATATCTAAGGGAAACATATTCAAGGACATTACAACTTTTTTATGCTTTTTTGTACTATACACACTCTTTTTATATTGTCTGTCATATTTTTTAAAAAAAATCTTTAATGGCATCTGGCTTTCACTCTTCATACTCTGTATAAGCTACCGGAACCAGAATTTCCCTGAAGGAGTAATCCCAAGGGATAAATAAAGTTGAATCTGAGTCTATCTTTTGTTAATAAAGGACATTTGGTTGTAAAATTTACTTGAGTTGGTTTGTTAAATCAACTCTTCTAAGTAACTAAAATGAATTTAGACTGAATGAAACTTTAAAGGAAATTGTATGTAAAAAAAGTTACCTAGCTTCTTCTAGGTAAATTGTACTCCGAATAAAATAGGTCAGTTGCATAGATATATGCAATATGTGCCATTCAATATGTATATAAATACATTCAAATTTTTATATTCTTCTGTATCACAACAAAAATTATATAATCAATATCATTAAAAATGCCTTTCCTTTCATAATCATTATATGCTTAAAATAACAACATTTGCTACAAACATAACAATAAAATAACAGTAAAGATGATTAGTGGTAGTAAAGAATTAAAATGTTGACTTTATTTTATATTAAATGTAACAATTTCCGTCTTTTATTGCAGATGACACAGTCATATTTCAGTCGTTTTTCTCACATTGATGTTGGTGTATGGATTAGAGTATACTAATTATTGTTAGGAAGCTTGATTCAAGCAATTCAGTTTATTTCTATAGAACCAATTCACAACACAAGTCATCTCAGGTCACTTTACGGTTCACCAGATCATCCAGTCAGATTGATTCAAAGTTTTCTATCTACGGAAAACCAGCTGATTGCATACAACTGGTTACAACTCACACTAAGCATGCTTGTAGCGACAGTGGAGAGGAAAAAATCCCTTTTAACTGGAATAAAAACCTCCAGCAGAACCAGGCTCAGTGTGAGCGGCCATCTGCCGAGGCCAACTGGGGTTCAAGGAGACGGAAGCAGAGACACAAAAAGCAGCTGTAAAAGGCGGCCCCGTCCAGGAAACAATCAGCCAGGCAGACGAGCTCCGAGCCAGTTCCCATGTCAGAGGATGAAGAGAGCACATCCAGTTAGTCACAGTCAGAGAAACAGGACTACACTAAAAAATAGGCCACTATTTTTATCATTTAAACACAATGAGAAAATGTAAATATTAGATTTGTTCAATGCATACCGCTAACGAACCTTATAATAAAGAAGAAACAGGCTCAGTGAATCCTCTGCCAGCGGTCATAATGTTTTGCCAGCCTTTCTTGGGTGACGTGTTCCCCCGCTGGCCGCTGGGGGCGCTGTGGTTTAAAAACCTCCCCGGAAACATGGCGGAGGTCAGGCACTGTGCGGGAAGGGGAGCGTGTGAAACTGGACTAAAAATGTTTAAAAGCTACCTCCTGGGGAACCGAATCCCGAACCGAACCAGGGCGGTACCTCCTGGCTCCCTATCCGCCGGGTTTCTGTTTGATGACATTAAAAACCGGCGGCGGAAGGCGGAGCGGTCAGCTTCTCCTGCTGCTGGAGGCCACCGGGACGGTTATGCAAAGGTGAGCAGCCGCCGGGTGGAGCTGAAGCCGGTATGGAGAAGCTGGTCTGAACAGCAACATTATACCAGAACTAAGAGGGAATTAGGTTCAAATAGGACTATTTTATAAAGGTTGTTCCTCTGTATGGAAGCTGTGATCGCAGGGGCGAAGCTAGATGGGGGGCAAGGGGTGGCCATCATTACCATTTTCCCCCCTAATACAGAAGATGACAGCAGTAATACTCAAGGGCAGTGGCGGTTCTAGACCAAATGTACCAGGGGGCCAGGAGGGGGCCAGCATTGTTTTCATGGGGGCCCAGAAAAGCATGAAATTAAAAACAGGGCAAGGGATTCAAATATATTAAGAGGGCTGCATGAAGAGAAATTTTTTTTATTCAATTATTATTTGGTCAGTATATATTCATAATTTAGGAATTTTACATATTTTTGACTTAATTTAAGTAAAAATGACGTTTTCTGTCAAATCTGAAAAACGGATAAATTCAGCTGCAAAAATGAGTTTTGTTTTTTGTTTTGAATAAATCATTTAGCAGATGAAAACTGGGATTCTATTTCAATACCACTGAAGCTAAGGCCTTGTTGATTTTAAATAATTAGTAAAATAGAAAAAAAAGAAATAGATCCAACTGAACTACCTATCAGTAACCATGTCTGTTCCAGCGCACATCCAGTATTATGTCTTTGGTACAGGGGCAATAATAGGGGCCAGGACATGAGCTACAGGGGCACAGACCCCTGTTGGCCCCTGTCTAGAACTGCCCATGCTCAAGGGGAATATTTAAACTTAAATTTTTTATACATTAACAATTACTTTACAACTAAAACACTGTTGTTAATCGTGCACATAAAAAACTAACGTTAAAGATGGTGAGTACAGAATTTCTGCTCTTTTCAGAACTAGATTTTGTGTCATGTGGGGAGAAGAGAAAATTCTGTGTCTCTGTAAGTCATCTAGGAGTCTTCAGTAAAATCAGAGATGAATAACTACTTCAGTGATAACTTAATAATCCAGATATTAGTACAAGTAAATAATAGTTTTATGCAGAACAGTTTTTGATAAAAGTAGGTAAATGATGACAATGGAAAAGATGAGATTTTGAAATTATTTTTCATGGTTGTTTAAATATATACGTCTATTTGTTATCAAAGGCTGTAGGAAAGTAGAGTTAATTTTGCTCATTCCTGTTGGAACAGAGGAGACTGACTCTGAGGTTCTGGTGCTGATCCGCTTTCAGCCACCCTCTCAGTCTACATTGGTTACTGCCTGGACACCCCTATTAAAATGTTCTGGCTATGCCTCTGCTTTATCCCCCTTTGCCCTCATCCAGGGTCCCAGCAGCCTCCATCTGGATCCTGGATCTCCTCACTTTATTACCGTCAGGAACTACAGCGGGAACGGGTCCAGATCTGAGCCCCTGTACAGAACCAAAACCGGCTACTATGACATCCTGGAGGTCTCTCCCACCGCCACCCAAGCCCAGATCAAAACCGCCTACTACAAACAGTCCTTCACCTACCATCCGGACAGGAACTCGGGCAGCGAGGAGGCCACGGTGCGCTTCTCCGAGATCAGCGAGGCCTACATGGTTCTGGGCAACAAGGGGCTCCGGAAGAAATACGACAGGGGTCTCCTGAGCCTGTCGGACCTCACGACCAGAGCCAGGCCCTCCACCGGGGGATCAGTCGAGCAGCAGGCCGGGGGCAGGCGGGCGGTGATGGGGGCAGACTTGAGAGAAAGGATCTTCGACTTTGATAAGTTCTACAAAGCTCACTACGAAGGGCAGCTGCAGAGACAGAGGGACATCCGGGTCCGGAAGGAGGAGATGCTGAAGAGGACGCAGGAGAACGTGGGGGACAAGCAGCTGGGCAGGATGACGGAGATCGGAGTGGGGATGCTGCTGGTGTTCGCTGTGGGCATTTTACTAAGCTTGAAGACTTGAGGAAAGTTTGGTGGAGGGATAAGCTCAAATCGACTGCTGCTTGTTTCCTACGTCAGCGCAGAGAAACGACCCGGAGCCACATGGTGCTGGACGTTTAGAACTTCTTCTACTCTCCTAAAACCGATGCATTAAGGACATAAAATAAAATATGCTTTATGATTTCAGCAGGTGTCAATCCTCTGAGCTCGCTTAGATGCAGTGTGATTTGATCAGAGGTCATGATGCCTCCATACCTCCACCATAGCCTTCTGTTTTACTGTCAGTAAACAAACTAACGCTCCTACAGCTACTTATCTCGTATATATTTCAGACATAATTTATCATAAAATTTACACCCATAATTTATTTCCACTTTGCATACCACCCCATTTCTATTCATTCTGGTTCTGATTCCTGTTTGACAGAATATGAACCCTGATCGAACCAAAATTACAGAATGAGCCCCTCCTGGTCGATTTTATTTACTGAAGGTAAAACATTTATTATCTTTGACAGAGTATTAGGGCCAAGCTAGAGATTTTTTATATATTTTTTTAGATTTTTTTGAGAATTAGGTCATAAAATTACGAGAATTACGTCGTAAAATTACGAGAATTACTTCGTAAAATGACGAGAATAAAGTCGTAAAATGACGAGAATAAAGTCGTAAAATTACGAGAATAAAGTCGTAAAATTACTAGAATAAAGTCGTAAAATTAGGAAAATAAAGTCGTAAAATTACAAGAATAAAGTCGTAAAATTGGGAGAATAAAGTAAAATTAGGAGAATAAAGTCGTAATATTATGAGAATAGAGTTGAAAAATAACGAGAATGAATTCATCATTCAACAACCGATTTCAGAAAGAAAGCTTCAAGCTCCGCCCAGCAGATGACGGCCGACCAGC